CCCCAAAACCCCAAAACCCCAAAACCCCTTGGGGTTATATAAATATTGAAAATAAGCATATAGTTAAAGTTATGAAAATTCTACCAATTTGCCACCTCAAAAGCTGTGACGAAAGATCAGCTTACTATGTCCATTCAAAAGCTGCTTATATATGCGTGAAGCATTATAAAGGTAATATTCAAATTCACACAAAAATTCACCTAACTTACCTGAGATTAACCCCTAAACTCCTCTGAAGATTCTCATTAAATTCCTTCGATTTTTTATTTTATCCTACCAATCCCTTACAAATCTTAGCCAATCCTACATCATCCCACAAAGAGTCTTGCGCCTAACCCTCTATAGCCTTAGCTAGCAAGTACGAACAGAAGGACATCTCTACCCTAACACCACCTGGAGAAGTAAAAGAAAACATCGATGTCTTCACAGCTGGCCTCTACATCTTCGCTACATTCATGAAAGAGAACAATCTTGGGGAACTCTCTGAAGATGCTCAGACTATGTTTACAGACTTCACTGAAAGAATCAATACTATCAGGAACAAATTTATGCTTGCTGGAGAGGAAGAATCTTACTTAGAATACGAAGACATTAAAGCCCAAGCTATAAATGTCAGAAAGCAAGCTAAAGGAGATCCTATTTTTAATCAGTTCACTGATGAGTTCTTCTGGGACTGTATGGCAGAAAATATTTCAAGGCGTGAAACCGAACAAAAACTACAAAAGGTGAGAAATATTCGGCAAAATAATCGAAGAAAGACTCTTAGGAAAATGGTAAAAGGATTAGAAGAAACGAAGGAATTGCCAAAAATGAATACAATTAGAGAGTCTGAGAATTCTAGTTACTCAAATTTAAGACTTATTAAATTCGATCAGATTGAAAAGATTTTGAAGAAGTTTAGAAACAAAACTAAACTGGAATATTCAAGCACTTGGCTAAGCTTATATCTTGATTCAGATTCTGACATGAGTTGTCTCAAGGATTTATCTAAATTTAAGCTTCCAGATCTCAGACAGATTACACTGAAATCCATTCCTGAAGATAGTGAAGACCTCAAGAAATTTCTCAGTGGATCTTTACCCAAAAATTTACAGAAGCTGAGTCTCAATCATAACAGCAAGGAGTTGATCAAAATGCCTACTTACATAAATTCAATTAGCTCAGCCACTCAGTGAGTCCACAGTGAAATTCTTTTGTACAACTTTGAAATTTCAGATTCTAACTTGTGCAAACTTCTTCATGTTGGCCAATCACAGCCTAAAGTGAATATATCCCACTGCAAGATTACCACCACTCAGGAGGCCAACACACAGGAGATAGCAGGCACTCCTGCTAAAAATCTATGCCTAGATTGTTGTGGAATCGCTAAATATTCTGATTGGCAGAACCATCCTGAAAACTTCGAATACCTGATGGTAAAACTAGCTCAGAACAAGAACTTGCCCAAAAGATTGAAGACAATCTCCTTCTGGGACTGCTGCATGAAGAAGACTTACATCCGCACTGTGCTGAATGAATCTGGGTTCTACGAAACTGAAATCTATGGATATTCAGCCTAATTATGGTTAATAGTTCAATGTGATCTTAGTGTATTGGGGTTTTGGGGTTTTGGGGTTTTGGGGTTTTGGGG